AACCTCTATACAACGAAAGGAGACTGCGACCACACAAAAGGCCACACCATCTTGTTCTTCATACCTTCGAAATAGAATGAAGTTGAAGCCTTCCAGAATAAATGCTGATTTTTTGTATGAACTATTTTTGCATGCAGAATGAAGGAAGTGTCAACTCCGCCCTTTATCGAGCATGCCCATCTCGTATGGCCTTGGTCATTTAATAGCGGAGCAAGAGAAATATTTGCTCATAACCTGAGCGCCAGCGTCACTTCTGACGAGGTTACCTGCGCCACGAACAGACTTTGCCAGTCTCGAAGCCTACTCATATAGACAAAAAGTAGTATCGTGAATAGCTTTGGCAAACAGAAATTAGCTTGCTCGATAATTGTACAATGAAAAACGTGAGTTGGGAAGCCCGATGTAAAAGGGCGTCATGGTGTCATAACTTGGAATCTTGTCTTCGGCCGAGCTGACTCTTCGTCGATGCAAGCGATGGCCACCCAAAGTCCCACAAAGTCACCCCAAAATGTAGAGTAATTAGGAATTTATAATTGTATGTAACCTAAAATCTTAAATGTACCGTTCATCCTCACTTTTATCGGAGCTAATGCATATTTCCTAGTTTATTCTTATTATTTGGGAAGAGCCTATCGAAAAAATTTGCTATGAGCCCATATAGCATTACAAAGTTTTATTGACATTGCAGTACTTTTTCTCACAACGGAATATTCTGTTCTTGAGTAAAGCCTAGCAACTCGAGAATAGTACCCTTTTCAATCGGCAAAATAGTAACCGGCTGAGGATAAACCCCTCGTGGGAAACCGAAAGCTCGCGTGGGTGCCGAGTAGGCAGTCCACTTCAAGGCAGCATGGTGCTGAGTATTCGGTATGGTACTGTGATGAAGAGTGAAAAAACGGGAACATAACAGGCGCATCTGTCGTCCCGAGGTTAAAAGGAACCTGCTCAGGCTCATTTGGTGCAACCTTGGGTACTGCGATCGCAAGCAGATGCATTCTAAGGAACAACGCTTTGCATTAATACAACATAGGAGGATTCGAGTTTGCCATGGATATGCGTCCGTGCAGCCGTCTTGAGGGGTGATCGCGCAATATTGAAGCGGTCCCATTAGATTTCCCATTTTGTATGGGTTCAATGGGCTGAAGCCCTCAACCTGCCCTAAGGACATTTGTGATGGCTAAAACGGTGTAAACAGAGGCAATTGGTCATGTTAAAGGACAGTTACGAAGCGATTGCAGATCTGGTTCGATGAACGTACCATGTATTCTCTTCTGAGAACACTATTGTT